TGGCATAAACTTCAGAGCCATTCTTTCAACTCCTACTCCCCATAAACAACAAAAATAGTAAGTGTATATGTTAAAAATCCCAATTATTAAGCTATGTAAAATGCCTATGTATAAAAAGGCAACTGGAAAGGAAATACATCAAGTTACTCACAATAATAAATACTGTCTGGGCCGGGCATGTTGGCTCACACCTGTAATCCTAGACTGCCTCCCACGCACAAGCCCAGCACTTTGGGAGGCTGAGGTGGGCAGATCACCTGAGATCAGGAGTTCAAGACCAGCTTGGCCAATATGGCGAAACCCCGTCTCTACTAAAAATACAAAAAATTAGCTGGGTGTGGTGGCATACACCTGTAATCCCAGCTACTCAGGAGGCTGAGGCAGGAGAATTGCTTGAACCTGGGCGGTGGAAATTGCAGTGAGCCGAGATCGCACCACTGCATTCCAGCCTGGGCGACAGAGTGAGATTCTGTTTCAAAAAAAAAGAATGAGCTAGTGGTCAGGCAGAGGCATTCAGAAGGAGGACATAACACATATTAGAATACATGATAATTTAAAAAAAGAGAAAAAAATCATTCTGTAAGCTCAAATCAGTGTGAATGTGGCTCCTGCCTACTTGGATCACTGTTTGAATGAGGAGAGTTTTGACTTTGACATTGAACTGTTTCAATCTGGTTTCCTTAATATGAGGGATGGGATGTATACCACTAAAAAATACTTCATAATGTGGAACTTAGCCACAATTATTTTCCCTTACACATCTAGTTTATTTCTCACAAATCAATGATGACCAATGGAAAGTAGCATTCCCACTAATGTCTAAAATTGAATTTCCTCCCCCAAAGTCAGCAAGTAATAATTTTGGAGGCCCTTAAGTGATAGAGTATTATGATCTCTGTGATATGGAAGCTGTAATAAGGGCATCAGGAAGGGAAAGACATAAGAGTTCAAGATATATATATATATTTTGAGACACAGTCCTGCACTGTGGCCCAGGCTGGAGTGTAGTGGCGCCGTCTCAGCTCACTGCAACCTCTGTCTCCTGATTCTAGTGATTCTCCTGCCTCAGCCTCCTGAGTAGCTGGGATTACAGGTGCATGCCACCATGCCCAGCTAGAAGATAAGAATTTACATAAGGCGTAAGATGAGCCCTGGCACTTTACATATATGACCTTGTGAGCTATATTATCATCTCCACTTTACAGATAGAAAAGCTAAGGCTCAGAAAGGTTAAGTGCCAGTTTTTAAGTGTGGGGCTAAAATTTGAACCCAGATCTGAGCCTCTACACTGAATGGGTCTTCACAAGTGGAAGAAAGAGAAAAAATTTCATTTATGCTTGACCTGTCCTCTCATGCATGGACTCCACTCACACTGACTTTCTGCCAGGCTTAGGGAAAGGACATCTAATCCCCAGAGGAAGATGTTAACTCACCTCTCTTGTGTCTTTATCCGGTATTAGTGTCTGGAAGAAGAGGTGATGAACTGGAGGTCGTAAGAAGTACTTCAGTCTATGCAGGCATGGTCTGTTGTACAACACACCTTGTGGTGTTCGTGCTTGTACATGGGAAGACCCAGGTTTGGAAGGCTCTGACAGTGATATTTCTTTTCTGGCTGGGGTTTCCATGACAGAGAACCAAGGAACTTCCTCTAAGGAAGTTTCAGACTGTGGGGACTGTGGCCTGGGAGAGCAGCTTGGAGAGGACGGAGCTGAGATATCCATAGGCATGTCCTGGTTCTGTATATCATTCTGGGTAGAGTCAGGCCTGTCTCCTGGAAAGTGAGGCATGTCTTGAGGTGAGTGTGGCACATCCCCTGATGAGTGTGGCATGTCTCCAGGTGAATGTAATACATCTCCTATTAAGTGTGGCATGCCCCCTGGTGACTGTGGTGTACCTGGTGATGGTAGAGCATCACCTGGTGACTGTGGCACATCTGGTGACCCTAGCATGTCTCCTGGTGATTGTGGCACATCTGGTGATTGTGGCGTATCTCCTGGTGTCCGTGGTACATCTCCTGGTGACTGTGGCATGTGTTGCAGGTATGTCACATCTTGTGGATGTAATATCCTTTGAGGTGGGCCTGGTACAACTTGAGGTAGGCCCAGAGAGTCTTGAGGTGGGCTTGGTGAGTGCTGAAGATGCCATAATGAGTCTTGAGGTGGGCTTGGCATATTTTGCTGAGGGCATGACACTTCTTGAGGTGGGTGAGTTAGAGCTGGCACTTGGCACTGCATCGTTTGTGATGGGCATGACAAGGCTCGTGGTGGGCAAGAGGAGGCTCGTGGTGGACATGGTGAGGTTCTCAGTGGGCATGGCAAAGCTCTCAGGGGGCACGGCAAGGCTTGTGGTGGGCGAGGCACATCTTGCTGTGGGCATAGCAAAGGTGCCCTTTGATTGCTGCTGCTGCTGCTACTATTATTGCTTGTTGGGGAGAGGGAGCTAACATCTGAAGACAGCTGTAGGCTTGTCAAGAAGCTGAGGTTACCTGTGAATGTAGCTGAGCTACAACTAGGCTCTGTTGGATAAACAGAGCCTCCACTGATGAATGTAGGGGGTGGGGGACCTACTAAGTTTTCTTCCACTAGGTCCAAACGTACAGGATGACTGTTAATGATTCTTTGTGCCATAGGCTGAGAGCTTCTGTCCACCTGCCCTTCCAACACCTTTTTGCCAGAGAGGCTGGCACATGTCTGAAGACTGGTTGGCTCCTTCTGGGAAGGAGTGGCAGGTTCTAAAGTTAAGTCAAGAGTGGCAATAGGTCTATTTTCTTCCTCAGCTCTTGTCAGATCAATCACACAAAGTCCATTGCGATCTTTTGGCCTTGGTCTGGTCTCTCTAGTTAAGTCAATGAAGTCCTGTAGAAGGATTGTGAGAAGAGAAGAGGCCAAGATGGGAGTATTAGCTTTATCTGAGATGACTTAAGTCTTAGCTTTAAAGGATAAACATTACTTTACCTTTTTACCTCACTGATAAGTTACACACATCTTGTATAACATAAACAATAGTTTATTTCCTTTGGTGAACATTTTGGTATTGCCGAAGCTGTCAATTTCTTTCTTTCTTTCTTTTTGTTTTTAGACAGAGTTTTGCTCTTGTTGTCCAGGCTGGAGTGCAATGGCGTGATCTCAGATCACTGCAACCTCCGCCTTCTGGGTTCAAGTGATTCTCCTGCCTCAGCCTCCCAAGTAGCTGGGATTACAGGCGTGTACCACCAGGCCCAGCTAATTTTGTATTTTTAGTAAAGACAGGATTTCTCCATGTTGGTCATGCTGGTCTTGAACTCCTGACCTCAGGTAGTCCACCCACCTCAGCCTCCCAAAGTGCTGGGATTACAGGCGTTAGCCACCGCGCCCGGCCCAAAGCTGTCAATTTCTATACCTTCTTAAATTCTCCAAATGCCACATGCAGATGACTAGCGTCATAGTGGGATTTTTTTCTGGTCCAAGGAGGACAGGGGAGTAGTAGGAGATATTCCAACCTTAAGCCACAAAGCAAAAAGCAAAGGCAACCATTGTTTGCAAAGTCGGATACACAGGATAACTTACAACAAAAGCTAAATAAGAAGTGTAGCAAATGAAAGAGAATCTATGAGCTAAGAACAAGTTCAGTATTTTTATGTATCTTTAATTTTCACAATGACCTGATAAGGTAGGCATTATCAATCCATCATACGGATGGGGAAACTAGCGTTTAGAGGGGTTAGGTTATCTACCTTACGATTATACAGCTAAGTAGCAGAGACAGACATTCAAACACATATCTGTCTCCTTTTTTCCCTGTGAAGGCCTAGGAATGCGCAACTTGATTCAATATATAATCAGTAACATTTTAAAAATCCCTGATCAATCTAGCTAGATATTTATCAACTTATTGATCTTTTTCATCTGTTTCCTATTTCACTTATTTCTGTTTTCTTTATTTCCTTCTTTCTACTTTGGATTTAATTTGCTCTTTTTCTAGCTCCTTAAATGGAAGCTTATGTTTAGACCTTTTTCTTTTCTAACACTAACATTTAAAACTAAAAATTTCACTGTAATGACTACTTTGGCTTCATCCCACAATTTTAAAAAGTATGTGATTTTTCTGCAGGACACAATTTTTAATATGTAGTCATTTTATTATCATGTAGCTCAAATTTACTTTCATTATGGTCAGAAAATATACTCTGTAAGATTTTAATCTTTTGAAATACACCAAGACTTAAGTCCTAACACACAGCCTACCTTGGTGAATCTTCCTTGTGTACTTAGGGAGAAAAAGTATATTCTGTATTTGTTAATTACAGTTCTATAAATATCAATCAGGTCATGGTAGTTAATAGTGTTTTTCAGATCTTTGATTTCTTTACTTTGGTGGGGGAGTATACAGTTGCATTACCAATTACTGAGTGAGAAGTATCCAACTATGGCTGTGGCTTTGACTGTTTTCCCTCTTAATTCGGTTGTTTGCTTCATGTATTTTGCAACTATATTTATTAGGTGCATATACATATATAATTCTTATAACTTCCTTACATAGTAACTCTTTTATCATTATAGATAGCACATACTTGGTTCTTGCTTTTTTTTGGGTCTAGTCAGACAATCTATACCTTTTGTTTAGAATTTTGGTCCATTTACACTTAAGTTATTTACATGTTTACTTTTAAATCTACAATCATGCCATCTTTTTCCTATTTCTTCTATCCGTTAATTATTTCTCTGTTCCTCTTTTTCTACCTCTTTTTATGCTGGTCATATATTTTTTGGCATTCCATTTTAATCCCTCTATTGGTTTTCTATCTATATCTCTTTTCATTATATTTTTAGTGATTGCTCTTGGGACTACAGCATACAAGTTCAATTTATTCCAGTGTACTTAGAAAATTTATTGAATAACTTGGCATAGCATGGTGGCTCATGCTTGTAGTCCTAGCACTTTGGGAGTGGTGGGCAGATTGCTTGAGCTCAGGGGTTGGAGACCAGCTTTGGCAACATGGTGAAACCCCCTCTCTACAAACAAAATTAGCTTGGCATGGTGGTGCACGCCTGTAGTCTCAGCTACTTGGAAGGCTGAGGCAAGACGACTGCTCAAACCTGGGTGGTTGAGGGCTTCAGCGAGTGGAGATTACACCACTGCACTCAAGCCTGGGGGACAAAGTAGAAAAAAAAAAAGAAAGAAAAAAGAAGAGAAAATTTATTGAATTACTTAAGGTAAAACTATAGAAACCTTACAAAATATTCCATTTACTTGTGCCTTATCCTGTATTTTTATTGTCCTGTGTATTATCTGTACATATTGTAAACATATCAATATAGTAGTACTATATTTGTTTACAGTCACTTGTCCTTTAAAGATATTAGGAAATAACAAAAAATCATTATTTTTGTTTTACACACAGATTTATAATTTCTTGTGCTCTTCACTCATTGTGTAGATCCAAATATCCATTTTGGTGTCATTTCCCTTCAGTCAAAATATCTTACAGTGCAGGTCTACTAGTGAAAAATTCTCTCATCTCTGTTTATCCAAAAATGTCTTTATTTTCCCCTTATTTTTGAACGGTAATTTTGCCAGATGCAGAATTCTTGGCTGAAAGGTTTCTTTCTTCCAACATTTGAGTATGTTGGTCCAATGTCTTTTGACATCCACAGATTCTGATAAGATGTGAGATGTTAATTGCACTGCTGTTCCCTATATACAATATATGATTTTTCTCTGGACAGTCAATAAATGGTTTTCTTCGTGATTATCTTGCTTTAGTCTGTTGTATTTTTTGGATTTGTAAGTCAATTTTTTTCCCACCAAATTTGAGAAAATTCCAGTCATTATTTATTCAAAAATTTTCTACAATCTGCTGCCCCTCCTTCTAAGACTCTAATTATATATATTATGGGTTGTTGTTTGATATTTTCCTACATATCTCTGTTCAACTTTATTCCATCTTTTTCTCCTCTGTTTCTCAAAATTGGGTGACTTCTATTGATTTAGCTTGAATTTCACGGCTTCTTTTGCCAATCTGCTTTCTTTTCCAATCTACTGTTGAAGCTATTCGGACTTTTTAAAAATTTCAGTTACTGTATTTTTCAACTCTCAAATTTCCATTTTTAGAGTTTCCATTTCTTGGTTGAGATTTTCTACCCACTCATTGATGTCATATTTTCTTTAACTCATTCAACACATTTATAATAACTGCTTTGAAGTTGTTGTTAAATCTAACTAGGCTCACTCAGTCAGTTTCTACTGACTGCCCTTTTTCCCTCCTTGAGTAGGGGTTATACTTCTGTTTCTTTGCATGCCTAGACACTGGGTTTAACTGTGTTCTTCTAAGAATTGTTATAGGGTTTTTGTTGTTGTTCTAGTAGATATTAATACTTAACTTGCCTAGATTCAAACTGTAAACTTTGTCTCCCTTGTACAATAAGGTACTGATATCTTGTTCTTATGGTTTCCAGCTGCTGTTGTTTGAACCTGGCCCCTTGAGGCGGGGGGTTTCTCTGCTGTGCCTACATAACTTGGCTGTTAGCCAAGCACCTGAGCAGACATTATACTAAAATTTTGGGATTCACCCTTCCTATGATTTTTCTTGTTTGCAGAGATTCCTCTGTAATTTCTTGCTCTGCCGGTTTGACCTCTGTCCCCTGACATTTCAAGTCTATAAAATTTCAGCTTTCTGCCACCCAAGTTGCAAATGACTGGGGAATGCAATCAGTTAAAAAGCCACAAAGTCACAGATATCACCTTATGCAGCTATCTTATAAGAACAGATTCCTCTCTGGTATCTGCCTGATTTTTCACTGGGTCCTCAGAGAGTACTTTAACAGGTATGGTTAAACTTTCATAGATTGGAAGTAGAATCCAACTGCACTGCTCTTCAAACCTTGGAGAGAGTTAGTTGCTCCCCTCTTTGATGATTCCATAGCACAGTGTACATACTAATATTACTTTAGCACATATCATGAGGCATTTTGCAGGGCACTTAGTTATCTTCTCTCCCACTTAAGAATAACCTCTTTTTGGGCCGGGCGCGGTGGCTCAAGTCTGTAATCCCAGCACTTTGGGAGGCTGAGGCGGGTGGATCACGAGGTCAAGAGATCGAGACCATTCTGGTCAACATGGTGAAACCCCGTCTCTACTAAAAATACAAAAAATTAGCTGGGCATGGTGGTGCATGCCTGTAATCCCAGCTACTCAGGAGGCTGAGGCAGGAGAATTGCCTGAACCCAGGAGGCGGAGGTTGCGGTGAGCCGAGATCGCGCCATTGCATTCCAGCCTGGGTAACAAGAGCGAAACTCCGTCTCAAAAAACAAAACAAAACAAAACAAAACAAAACAAACAAACAAAAAAAAGAATAACCTTTTTTTGTCTACAGCCATACCATCCTGAATGCATCAGAATATCGGCTGCTGCAGGCCAAAAAAAAAAAAAAAAAGAATAACCTCTTTTTGTATCCTGTATCTTGGTAGCTATAAGGTACTTGGATTAATAAATAACTCATGATTAATAAATAAATTTAATCTAATAATATTTGTTAGTTTATTCTCATTTCATTGTTCTCTCATATTCTCAACTCCTAATTAAGTATTTTGCATTTCTAGCACATATTGTTATGGTTAAGCTTTCACAAATAACAAATTCTCTTTCTAATTTTAATAGTTGTATTGCCAGAGGGAGCAGAAACACAGATTACTAAAGCTCCCCGATATCTGGCATCTGCAGAGTGAAACCAGGAAATAACTCCTTCAGGCCTCCTAATTAGCCCTATTTTCAGACCTTGTGAGGTGAATATTATTCATATTTAGAGCAAAACAAAGAAAGCTCAGAAACCAGAACACTTTCCTTTTGGGGGTTTGAACTTACTAAATTGGAAGTGTCAGATTCACCTATACCAGCAAACTGCTGACCCAAGGCTTATCATCCACTTATGGTATTGATAACGGGATTTGCTGCCTACCACTCTAGTTTCCACTCATGGTTTTTAGTTCATTTTACTCTTTGGAAACTTCTGTTAATTCTTGTCAGGCTGGCTAGCAGGAAAAATTAGTTTCAGTAAGAATCCTTTTTTTTTTTAGTGGAGAGTCCTTCTAAGTTGGCTGTACTCCTGACAGAAAAAGTTTCTGGTCAAGGCTTGGGTTGAATTCGTATCCAGTGACCTTGTTAAACTCATTCAGTTAGGTCCTAGAATTTTTGTTGTTGTTGTTGTTGTTGCTGGGGGTGGGTATCCTTGAGAACTTCTGCATAGAAAATCATGTCATCTGGAAATAGAGACAGTTTCATTTCTTTTTTCCAATCTGTATGCATTTTATTCGCCTTTTGTATTTTATTTTTTTGTAGAAATGGTATGTCTCTATGTTGCTCAGGCTGGGCTTGAATCCCTGGGCCCAAGTGATCTTCCTTTCTTGGCCTCCCAAAGTGCTGGGGTTACAGGCATGAGCCACCATGCCTGGCCTATTTCCTTTTCTTAACCAATTGCACCAGCTGAGATTTCCAGCACCATTTGTATAGGAGTGATGAAAGCAGACATCATTGCTTTGTTCGAAATCTTACAGTCCACAATCAAATGTGGGAGCAAAGGGTTGATCTAAGGTTGGAACTTAAAAGAAAAGCAGAGTGTAAAAGTCTGAAAAATTTGCAGCCCAGTCCTGTGGTAGAGAAGGAACAAGCATTTTTAGGAGAGAAATCCAAAGGGGCTGAAGAACAACGACTTGCAAAAGAAATTAGCAAGACAATGAGAAAAAGGCCTAGAGGCCTAGGAGGCCAGAATTATTTCAGGAGCCCAGTCCAAATTCAGGCCGTTCAGGTTTGAGCCAGGGCTCAAAAGGCCCCAGACATAGCTCAAGGTGTCAATCAGAGGCGCTGGCAGCTTCCATGTGGTGTTAAATCTGCAGACACACAGAATGCAAGAGTGCATTCTGGCGGCTTCCACCTAGATTTCAGATGTATCAGAAAGTCTGGGTGCCCAGGCAGCAGCCTGCCACAGGGGCAGCGCCCTCACAGAGAGACTACTAGGGCAGTGCCAAGGGGAAATGTGGGGTTGGAGCCCCCACAGAGGTACTCCTTAGCAGAGTCATGGAAACAAGGCTGCTGCCCTCCAGAGCCCAGAGTGGTAGAGCCACCAGCAGATTGTACTTTCTCTATTTTTTTGTTTTTCTGAGACGGAGTCTTGCTTTGCCACCCAGGCTGGAGTGCAATAGCATGATCTCGGCTCACTGCAACCTCTGCCTCCTGGGTTCAGGCAATTCTCCTGCCTCAGCCTCCTGAGTAGCTGGGATTACAGATGCATGCCACCACACCTGGCTAATTTTGTATTGTTAGTAGAGATGGGGTTTCACCAAATTGGCCAGGCTGGTCTTGAACTCCTGACCTTGTGATCTACCTGCCTCGGCCTCCCAAAGTGCTGGGATTATAGGCGTGAGCCACTGTGCCCAGCCAGCAGTTGTACTTTCAGCCTGGAAAAGCCAAAGGTACAACTCTAACCTGTGAGAGTAGCCATATGGGCTGTGCCCTAGTAAAGCCATGAGGCGGGGCTGCCCAAGGCCTTAGGAGCCTACCTCTTGTACCAGTATGTCCAGGATACAGGACATGGAGTTAAGGGAGATTATTTTGGAGCTTTAAGATTTAATGTCTACGCTGTTGAGTTTTAAACTTGCATGAGGCCTATTACCCCTTTCTTTTGGCCAATTCTTCCCTTTGGAATGGGAATGTTTACCCTATGCCTGTACAAACATCATATGTTAGAAGTCAATGACTTGCTTTTCATCTTACAGGTTAACAGCTGGAGGAAATTAGCCTTCAGTCTCAGATGAGATTTTGCATTTTTGAATTGATAGCAGACTGAGTTAAGACGTTTGGAAACTATTGGGAAGGGATGATTATATTTTATAATGTGAGAAGGATATGACACTTGGGGGGCCAGAGAAAGAATAATACAGTTTGGATATTTGGTCCTTCCAAGTGTCAGGTTAAAATTGGATCCCCAATGTTGGAGGTAGGACCTGGTGGAATCATAGGGATGGATCCCTCATAAATGCCATGGTGCCATTCTCAAGGGATTGAGCCAGTTCTCACTCACAGTTCCTGTGAAATCTGATTGTTCTCTTATCTCTTCCTCCTTTTCTCACCATGAGACATGCTTGCTCCCCATTCACCGCTGCCATGACTGGAAGCTTCCTGAGGTCCTTACCAGAAGCAGATGCTGGTGTCATGCTTCTTGTTCAGCCTGCAGAATTATGAGCCATATAAACCTCTTTTCTTTATAAATTTACCCAGCCTCAGGTATTCCCTTACAGCAATGCAAAATGGACCAAGACAGCTATTCTGAATCTTTTGTCTTTCCATATAAACATTATAATCAGTTTGTTGACGTTCACAGAACAAATTGCTGGGGTTTTGATTGGGATTGCATTGAATCTACCAATTTCGTCAGGAAGAACTGACATCTTGATGACATTGAGTTTTCCTATTCACAAACATGAAATGTTTCTCCATTTATGTAGTTCTTCTTTGATAACCATCATCACAATTTTGTAGTTTTCCGTATAAAGATTGAGGATATTTTGTTATATTTATACCTATTTGTTCAAGTTTTGGGAGTGCTAATGTAAATGGTAATATATTTTTCATTTTAAATTCCACTTTTTCATCGTTGGTATATAGGAAAGCGACTGACTTTTGTATGTTAACCTGGTGTTCTGCACACTCACTATAATTGCTTGTTAGTTCCAAGAGGTTTTTTCCCTGATTCTTTGAGATTTTCTATATAGACAAATCATGTCGTTAGTGAACAAAAACAATTTTATTTCTTCCTTCCCAATCTGTATATCTTTTCTTTTTTTGAGACAGAGTCTCACTCTGTTGCCCAGGGTGGAGTGCAGTGGCACAATCTCAGCTCATTGCAATCTCTGCTTCCTGGGTTCAAGTGATTCTTCTGCCTCAGCCTCCCGAGTAGCTAGGATTACAGGTGCTCACCACCATGCCTGACTAATTTGTATATTTTTAGTAGAGACAGGGTTTCACCACGTTGGCCAGGCTTTTCTTGAACTCCTGGCCTTAAGTGAACTGCCTGCCTTGGTCTCCCAAAGTGCTCAGATTACAGGTGTGATCTACCACGCCCAGCTCTGTATCTCTTTTCTTTTCTTTCCTTTTTTCTTTTCTCTTCTCTTTTTTCTCCTCTCCCCTCCCTCCCCTCCTCTGGTTGCATTAGCTAGGACTTCCAGTATAATGCTGAAAAGGAGTGGTGGTGAGAAGACATCCTTGCCATATCCCTGATCTTAGTAGGAATGCTTTGAGTTTTTTACCATTAGGCATGATGTTAGTAGCAGTTTTTTTGTAGATGTTCTTTCTGAAGTAGAGGAAGTTCCCCTCTATTCCTAGTTTGCTGGAAGGTTTTATCATGAATAGGTGTTAAATGCTTTTTTGGCATCTATTGAAGGGATCATGTGATTTTTCTTCTTTAGCCTATTGATGTGGTGAATTGCATTAATGGATTTAATTGATTTTCAAATGTTGAATCGACCTTGTATACCTGGGAGAAATCCTACTTGGTCACGATGTATAATTCTTTTTGAGCATTGTTGGATCTGATTTGCTAATACTTTGTTGAGGATTTTTGCATCTGTACTCATCAGAGATATTGGTCTGCAGTTTTCTCTTATAATTTCTTTTCTTGTTTTGGTATTAGTATAATGCTGGTCTCATAGAGTTAGTTAGGGAGTAGTTCCTCTGCTTCTATTCTCTAAATTCATTATTGAGAATTTATATCATTTCTTCCTTAAATGTTTCTTGGAATTCACTCACCAGCCCATCTGGGCCTGGAGCTTTCTGTTTTGGAAGATTATTAATAATTATTGATTCTATTTCTTTATTGGATATAGGCCTATTTAAATTAAATTATCTTACTCATAAACCCTTTTTTCCTTTTTTTTTTTTTTTTTTTTTGAGACAGGGCCTTGCTCTGTATCCCAGGCTGGAGTGCAGCAGTATGATCTTGGTCCATTCTAACTTCTTCCACCTTTCAGGTTCAAGAGATCCTCCTGCCTCAGCCTCCAGAATAGCTGGGATTACAGGTGTGTGCCACCACACCTGGCTAATTTCTGTATTTTTAGCAGAGATGGGGTTTCGCCATGTTGGCCAGGCTGGCTCAAACTCCAAGCCTCAAGTGATCCATGCACCTCGGCCTTCCAAAGTGTTGGGATTACAGGGGTGAGCCACTGACTCAGCCATCGTATACCTTTTACAACAATTAAAAAGCATTTGTTCTACCCAAATCATCTATAAGCTTAATAATTACAAACAAAACTCCAATGGGATTTAAAAAGTAGCAGATAAGATGATTCATAAGTTCATTTGAAATAGAAAAAGCAGCCAGGTGCTAAATAACTGTAGCTATCTAGTATAGAAATGACAGGGGCAGGTTCTTATGTAAGAATTTCTTACCTCAGCCGGGCGCGGTGGCTCAAGCCTGTAATCCCAGCACTTTGGGAGGCCGAGGCGGGTGGATCACGAGGTCAAGAGATCGAGACCATCCTGGTCAACATGGTGAAACCCCGTCTCTACTAAAAATACAAAAAATTAGCTGGGCATGGTGGCGTGTGCCTGTAATCCCAGCGACTCAGGAGGCTGAGGCAGGAGAATTGCCTGAACCCAGGAGACGGAGGTTGCGGTGAGCCGAGATCGCGCCATTGCACTCCAGCCTGGGTAACAAGAGCGAAACTCCGTCTCAAAAAAAAAAAAAAGAATTTCTTACCTCTATTTATAATTTATTATCATTATTATTTTTTGAGACAGTCTTGCACTGTTGCCCAGGCTGGAGTGCAGTGGTATGATCTCAGCTCACTGCAACCTCCACCTTCAAGGTTCAAGTGATTCTCATGCCATAGCCGCCGGAATAGCTGGGACTACAGGCCTGTGCCACCACTACTCCCAGCTAATTTTTGTATTTTTAGTAGAAATGGGGTTTTACCATGTTGGCCAGGCTGGCCTGCAATTCTTGGCCTCAAGTGATCCTCCCATTGCTCCCTCCCAAAGTGTTGGGATTATAGGCGTAAGTCACCATGCCCGGTCTATTTACAATTTAAAAATAATGTTTATAATTTTTTTTTTTTTGAAATGGATTTTCACTCTGTCACCCAGGCTAGAGTGCAGTGGAGCAATCTTGGCTCACTGCAACCTCTGCCTCCCAGGTTCAAGCAATTCTTGTTCCTCAGCCTCCCAGGTAGCTGGACTACCATGCCTGGCTTAATTTTTT